CACTGGGTTTCATATAAAAACATATGCAAGATACTGAGCCTAACATTGAGGGGAAAAGGTCTAAAGGAAAGTAGAAATCCACTTCCACCGGGATTTAGGATGGGAGTTTTAACCATTTTTTTAAATAAGAGCCTTTCTAGGGATTAATGCAAACCATTTAAGCAAATACATGCTCACCAAGAGGCAGCTTCCTGGTGTGACAACTGTGACCTGAGCACTTTGCCATGCATCTCCACAGCTTGATCTGAACTGAAGGGTAGCAGGGGCGTCACTCCTCCTTCCTCCCAGGGACTGCTGGGGCACCTGCTCTGCAGGAAGCTCCCTCACCTTGTCCAGACGGACCCCCAAGCAGAGGAAACAGCTAGTCAAAATATCAGTGGTAAGGAAAGAATGAGCTGGCTCCTTTCCCCTTTCTCAAAATTCCTGGTTATATCCGGGTTGTTGCCAAACCAGAGTTTGCCCCACACCCCAGCACCCTGGGCTGGGCATCTCCTCGGGCTGTTCCTGGGCAGGTGCGTTCAGCCTCCACAGATATTTATAGGCATGTGCAGTCTGCACAGAGCTATGTTCTGTATTTGCATAAAATGCCAAGCATGAAATGAAACCTGGCCATCATTAATCAAGGGCTGTAGTGAACTAGAGCTTTCCAGTGAGGTTTTTGCTGAGTCTGAGCTTCAAAATTTTAACACATCCAAATTACACTTATGAAAAAACCCTGACTCCAGGTATTGGTCATATAAATGGTTGTTCAAAGTTTAACAAATGCAGAGCAGCATTTCCCTGTTTTAGTTGGTGGTGGACAAGGACAGAGTGGTTAGCCTTGCTGGGCATGGGGTGACACCCGTATCAGCAGTGTGCTGTTTCCCAAAGTGCATGAACACCAGTGGGATTGATTTTGCCACCTCTACTCATTTGTGAGAGAACTTCATCACAGGACAGCTTGAGTCTGCCTGCTGCTGCGTAAATACAGTCTTGTTAGAATTAAAAGCTGCCAGCGAAGAGCAACCTAGCAAAGAGCTAGTTTTGCACTCAGAAACGAGAAACAAAAACCAGTGATCAAGTGTCCATGACTGACAACACAGTTCTGAATGAGTGAGTGTGCGGATCAGTGAAAAGACACAGCCAGTCTGGGGATTTCATACAGAAATTCAGAAAGTGCTCTTCTTTGGACTGTAGGACAGAACTCCTTGTGAAGAGCAGCAACCTAGGTGCACAGCTCCTGCAGGGCAGCCGCTGCGTGTCCTGGCCCACAGCATGGCCATATTGCATTCTTAGGCTGTTTCAGGTTTGGGGAATTATTACCAAAATAACCCCACATGGACTGCTTCCCCTGCAGCTGCACCGGGGCTCACAGCAATGGGAGCTCAGCATAGACAGCTCTCAGCTCCAGCAGCCGCTTGCAGCACTGGATCAGTTAACCCTGCTCTGAGGAGGGTTAATTGACACAGTGCTGCAAATGGCTGACGGGATGAAAACTCATATATTACGGCTCCCAGCATCCCTAACAATTGTGCAGCTGCATTCATATTAGAAATTGTGGGAATTTGGAGGAGGGAGGAAAATTCCCTTGTGCAGACAAGGCCTGAGAGTGAGCCTTAATGTTCTTTTCTGAGTCTTGGTTGTCAGTCGCAGTCATGCTTCCCTAAAGCATTATCCCAGCCATCTGCTGACTGTAGCAGCCGCTGTTCTGCACTGGGTGAGCAAGAGCAAGACGAAGCCCGGCAGTGCAGCAGGTCTGTCCAGTCGCTGCCCCACAGCTCTTATGCTCGCTCCCCTTATCCTGTATCAGAGACCAGTGCTTCTCACTGGCTGCTCTCCTATCTCTGCCCAGAGAACTCCTCCAATGCCAAACATTTGCTGTTCCCTCTGAGCAAGGCCTTAAGTTTGCCTCATCCCTGTAACTTTGTAGTAGCCTATGTGCTCCAGGGCAAGCAGGTGGAGGAGGCAGGCCTCCCTTGGGCAGGCAGGCCATGCAGCCTAACCCGTCACCTGAGCACACTGGGGGTGTATTGCTGAAGGATGCTGTGCTACAACCTGGAATTTGCATTCTGATGCGAAGGGCTGCTGCTGCCATGGAGCTGTGGGGCTAAAAGAGAGCCCCGGGAGCAGAACTACTGGGGCCAGGTCACCCGCCAGCTGCCATGCAGACTGCAGAGTAACAAACAGCCTCTTGGGAAGTGCTGTGTCTAAGGCAGCAAATATCCATCTTGCGTCACCTCCTTCTTACCCCTTGTAGGAGTTCTTCCAGCTTCTCTGGAAATCTGAGATTTTAAGCTTGTGGAATCCAGGCCTTATTTCATGGAAACCAGGCCTTATCTTACATGTCCTACCCTGCTATGGATGTCTTGAGAAATACAACATCATCAAAGTGCTGACAACACTCTGGTTGACAAACCAAAGCCCAAATCTCAGCCCAAAGCTATGGACAGTAGGCCATATCCTCAACAGTGACGGCTGTACTCTCTCAATGGTTACACAGCTCTATTTGCCACTGTTCACTCTGTATCGAGCAGTGACTCTTTATTGGTGGGAAAGGAAGGAGCAGCAGAGAGAACAGTCACCAATCTCTTAGGGGAAGGAATCTCGAATGGAGGCACTGTGCTGGCTCCCACTTGATTTGGGAGCCTGGCTCGCTGAGTGCTGGTGCTGAGGTGCTTCCCTGTGTCAGGCAGTTGGGGTGCAGATGTCGCTGGATTGCTGCAGCAAGGCAGCACTGTCAGGGCTGCCCTTGGGAGCTTCACCTGTTTTGTGAGATAAGGGCTTGTGGGTGGGGATAGAATGATGGCAGCTTCAAATGGCCATCAGACCTGTAGCCATCCCAGCCCCAGTGCTGATCCCTGCTATGAGGGTGAGTTTGTGGGCAGCACCCAGTGGGACCTGGGTGTACTTCATGTACTGGGACCTGCCATGTCCAAACA